TGACGACTCAGGGATCACCTGTACGGACGGCTCTGGAGGAGACCCAACTGTCAGGCTTCAAATGAGACCGGAAGGTTGATGTTTAACCCTCTATAGGTTCTGCCGTATGGGTTGAGTTGGAACCGTTCTTAATTGAAGATAACTCGACCCTTAGTGGAACATATGGTTTATAATTCATTTTCCTTACGATACTCGGGAGTTTGATTCGAACCCCTATACTTGGAGGTTTGTATGGATGGGCTTCTTTAGGGTGGAGGTTCGGTTCCTCCCGGGTGGTTCTTCTCGCTTTTTTTTTCATCAGAAGTTCCCGTATGGCTAGTCTCTTTCGAGGCGAAGGTTCAATTCCTTCCGGGTTCAATTTATTTACTGGCTATGTCAATCAGTATGTTCAATAAGCAAAAATAATGAAAAAAATATTCAAACATTAGGCGAGAAAAATATATAGTGTCAAAGTTTGTTCCTCTGAAAGAAAAATTAAGAATATGGTAACGAGGATGATAATTGCGAAGATGATGAACGTGAATCAGTATTTACGATGACGATGGAAATAAAGATAAGATGGAAATTCGTTCGATGCTGCTTTATCTGTAAGTTAAGCTTTACTGACAATGATGAAGACAATGATGATTCTAATTTAAATGATCTTTATAGCTATACGTTATTGGCGTATTATTGACATTACTGATATTGTTAAATAACGGATCAAAAGTGCTAAGTTCCAAATTTGCTTGCTATCTATTATTTTGTGAGGTGCAAATGACATTACCACGAAGAAAATACTTTAAATTATAACATCTTCATCACTTTCATCATCTATATTATTTTGTAAGGTGAATGCGACTGGTCGATTTTTTCACAAGGCAGCCCTCAATTTAATTTTGACCCTAGAATATTCCAGCAAAATTATAATTTTCTCCAACAACACAAGGGGTTGCTATTAGTAATGATGTTAGTAATATGGGTGTGTATAGTTAGTACCATATTAATATTTTACCCAAGAGCTGCAATATTTATTAGAATATTTAATAATGAAAAAAAACTTTAATTAGTAAAATAAAAAACATTGTTCAAATATATTATATATGGCAACGTAACGAAGACTTTAACAACATGAGAAGTAGTAAGATTTGAATTTTTTTCCACGATGATTTTTAAAATTAGTTGTCACAGGAACCGGAAAATCTGCTATTAAAATATGTTTGAAGTCATCATTCCTACTAAATATCAGTGTGATATTTAAAAAATTAAAAGAAATAGTATATTTTCAAATTAAATTTATTAAATTTTTTATTTGAATTAACTGAAAAAATAAAATCGTACTAATCTCACCGTTGCACTAATATATTATCTTTCAAATCTCCGATTTACACCTAGTGGCAGCGTAACTTCAGATATAACAGCTCAACAAATAACTCAGCGAAAACTCACCACGTTCTAAGACATTCAAATCTTACAACTTATTATTCGCTTAACTAAAGAATGCATTTAAATATATATTCGGTTTCTACATTTTTTTTCAGACCACGTGTTCCGATCCCGGTGCAAGATAGGGAAATTTGCTATGTCCATCACGAGTAATTCCATGTAGGGTCTCTTTGAGGTTCAATATCTCGAGATTCAGTGGCGGGATCGAGTATAAAGCCACCATTCGATTCTCCAGAACTTAGGGAATCGAATGGTACGCCTTATAACCGATCCCGTCACTGGGTCTCGAGATATTGAGCAGTACATAAAATTGCTCGTTAAAAATAAATCAAAGTTCCACGTACGTCTCTTTGGAACCCAATATCTCGAGGCCCAGTGACGAGAATCGGGTGTAAGCATACCATTCGATCCCCTATGTTCTGATGAATCGAATGTTAGCCTTTATACTCGATCACCACCACTGGGTCTCGAGATATTGAGTCCCAAGGAGACTATACATGGAATTACTCATGAGGATCAGAAACTTCCGGCAATTTCATGTCATAACAATAAGATATTATACAAATTTTAACTTTTTTTGAAAAAAATTATTCTTTTCTATCATATATTAATGTAACTTGGAATTAATAAAAATGTCGACAGGAAATTTTACATTGTTTAATAAAATAGTGCAGGCCATCTATAGAACACCAATACAAAAAGAACTAGGATTTTTAGATTGGTTATATAGGTTTATTTGAATTTAATTGGCTAGCATTAAAATGTAATAATAGCCATCTTTTGACTGGCTATAATAGACACGTATAAAAATCAGTGCATAAATTCAGTGCATAAATTCAGCCCATAACAATAAAACAAGCGCATAAAATGACGCGCTGATTTTTGTTTATTATCGTTATTGATGACTCACGGTGACGTTTATTGTTTATAAATCAAAAAAATGGATTTACCATATAAAAGACGGACATTCGTATTCTTTGGGTTCTCTCTAGTACCCTAGACACGACGTAAAAAGTTACTATCACCTCATAAGACATTTTTTGGATACATTTTCTTTGTGCCTGATTTGTTTTCGTGACAATAACTTTTTTACGCCGTGGCTAGGGTACTAGTTCCCCTTTCGTTTTTGCTTTTTATCGCTTTTTCATAGTTATAGTCTTCTTGCTTCCTTGTTATTTATGTTGGTGCGCATACCCAGTCCTCGCTGTCGACTTAAAACTTTAGCGAACTTTCTAGAGATTTGAAGCCAATAGATTTGAGCCTTTGAAATGCCCTACTTACTGGTTGTCCCTTGTTTTTACAGCGTCAGTCAGTGATAGTGCAGGTAGTGGGCCGTTCTTCTGCTTTTGGGAGAAACCACTGTCGGGCTTCAAAGGAGATCAGTTGGAATTGATGTTTAACCCTCTATAGTTCTGCCGTATGGGTTGAGTTGGAATTTTGTTGGATCATGCAATAATCACAGGATTCTCATAAAGACGACGGTGATGATGTAATGCAGAAAGAGCTAGAAGATTAGGTTGTGATGAATTCTCCGAGTTCAAGCTACTTTTCTGAATCCCGATTTTTGCTTATCACTCGATGATGAAATTGGTAATCCGAAAGATAAGTTTTCGTGAAAATTCTGGAAACGATCGATATCAGAATCAAATAATAAATCATGCTGAAATTGATTCTTGGATTCATTATTTAATGAAGGGTCGAAATAGAAAATTCGCGAGACGAGTTAGGATGATGATAATGGTGGTTATATAAATGGATTTTGCAAAGAGGATATTAGAATTAAATGTCCGATAACTCAACACTCGGTGTTTTGTTGACTGCTCGATATGAAATGGTGAAACTGTTGGTGTCTTTGATAATGGGAAACTTGATGCGATTTTATATAGTTGGGGGTCTTGACAACGGATTTTTTTATATACCCTTTGAGGCTTTTCTACCAAGAATCTTTGTGGTGCATATTTCCGCGAGTTCATCAAAAGACTTTTTTGATATTTTCAAGATTTCTGAAGGATTCATTACTGATTTTCCCCAGATGATTATACATAATTATAATGATGCGAAAGTAATCCACCATTGCGGGAATTAAGTTCTGTTCTAATCATTGGAATCTAGCAACTTTAATAAAAAAATTGCTATCAATACGAAATAAAAATATAGATTTCATGAAAAATATTTTAACGACTTTTTATCAGTAACATACTTTTGCCAGGCTGTAATATTTCGTTGATTATAAATTATTGTTTTATGAGAAATAATTCATATTCCGAATCGACAAGTTGCCCTTTTTCTATTTTCTTGATGACTAATTAAAGATCAATGGGGATGGATGTATAATGAACAAAATTGTGTTTTACTAGTTATTTGAACAAATCCCAGTTTGTCAATTCTCCAGAAAAAAACATAGTTAATATATAAATAAAATAAAGTTAACAAAAAAATTAACTGTACATGATGGATGATGATGAGGAAACAATCTAAAATAAACTAACCGTAGCTTTATGAGAAAATATAAATATTTACACCCTTTAATATAAGATAGTAGAGTTGTGTGAACCACATCATGATTATATATTAGAATCAATATCATCTTGCAAATTGGGGATGTGATCGATAAAAAGAAAGAAAAATTGCATCATATGGGATTTTTGTACCGGTGAGATATTATAATTGTCACCATTATTTACCTAACGTAACAGTAATGTTACTAAGTATGTTTATGTATATTGTGCATTGTATAATTAAAGAGGAAACATCTCAATGAAAAGAAAATTCGGCAAATGATAGACCAGTTCCTTCAACAACTGGTTTGAGTGTCAATTTCTGATAAGGAGTGGAAACGGGATCAAAATAATAGCCTGGAAAGAAGAATTAAATCAACAACTATCCAGTAATAAAAGGGAAGATTATTAAAAAGTAAAAGAGAACTACCTTCAATTGTACCATCACTTCTCCTAATACATATATAATAAAATCCAGCAATTGTTAAGCCACTATCTTGAGCTGACATATCAACAAAACATCGTTCTACAAATAAATTATAAATAAATTATCACGATACGATAAAAAAAGTAGATTTTTTTTAAAAAAACTCCAACCTTTCCACCGCATAAAAATATATTTCTCGCTGACTTGTCTGAACCATTTTCGTGAAAGAAATCCACGAGAAATACTGTACACCCGACAAGAAGATTTTCATCAGTAAACAGAGCCAAAATTTTATTAATTGAACGTATCCACCTTTGAATTTACCTTCTACCATCAGTCCAACGAAAAGCTTCGAATTTCCGCCAATGTTGTAGGTCAACATCAGGGGTAGCTTGCCATTTGTTTGTCCACAACGAGTGATTAACCAGGTCGATAATTTCACCTTCCCAGTAGGTGACTACTTTATTAGTACTTGATGGCACATTCAAGGCTTCCATTAGTCCAATAGCTGTCCCAGTTTTATAATCTACATATTGAATTGTCTAAAACATTTTTTTTTTGTTAAATGCATGAAAGAATCGTAATCATCTACACAGTGATTGAATAAATACCACTTTAACGCCCCATTCTTCGCGTTGGGATGGATTTGAATTCATGAGATTTTGTGTTCCGCTAAACGATAAACCAGAGTGCAAGAAACTGCATCGAGGTATCGTCGTGAATTGTTCAGATTCTTTTGACCGGTTACCGCATCCAGTTTTCGAAACTACTTCTGGATTAAATTTTATAGGGGCAATATTTGTAGTCGCCGTTGAAGTTGTCGTCGACGATACAGGAGAAAAATTATAATTTTGCCTGCGAAACGACGCCAAACGTGAGACAAGAGGAGAGAACGCACGACTACGCTGAGAAGACGATCGATAGTGGTGACGTGTATGAGTTTCTATTGTTTGAGAAGAACCAGTATCCGCTGAATACTCTTCCTCTTCTTCCTCTTCCTCGTCTTCAGAGGTGTAGTCAATACTATTATCTAATTCCATATTTATAGTGTTGTAGTCCCCGTGAAAGGTAAAATCACCATGATCAATATGATCTAGAACGTCTTCACTTTGGGTGTTATTTTCCTCCTCTTCTTCCTCGGAAATGCCATTACGTGTATTGAAAACTACAGACGGCGACTCAGAGCTATAGGCGTGTGTGAATTCATCGTCAGAATCGCTAAAAAACATGTTTGTAGGGTCGTGGTTAGGGAGAATGGCTTTTTTTATAGACTTGGAAACTGAGAAATCAATACAAAACGATAAATGGTGGTAAGCTTGTGTGTGTTACTAGGATATCTTTCTTTTCATCCACAAGGGCATGACAATATGGTTAGGTTCATCTGCAGATGGATGTAGATCTATTATTATTCACATTCATGTCATTCTTTATGATTTCAACTATACATCGAAGAAATCTCTTGTTTCCACTGCTGGCAAAAGAATGTCATGTTTATTTTTGCCAAAAAAATCTAATAAACAAGGGAAATTTGCTCGAAGAAAGTTACAAATTCTCGAAATGTAAATTGATTTTTTTTTTTGAACTTTATCGTTCTATTTTAAAGTCGCATCAACCTTTTCCTTTTTAAATGACAAAAATCAGATCTCTCAACTTTAACAGGATCTTCACAAAAGATAAAGATTCAATTACATCCGACGAAAATACCCGCCAACACTTCAGAAGTCTCGCCGACGATAATTGACATTCCTCGACCAGAAACCAATAGATATGGAAACCCGTTTCCTCCTCGTCGAATCTATCTCCATAATTTATATTATCTCAAAGTGCATTACAATCGACTCCTATTCATCCTGCAGCATAATAACCTTACGATACCCGAACAATTGGAACTACGTAAATCTCTAACAAAAGTTAATGCGGAACTTTTGGTGATTCGACTAGGAATCTTTCGAGCAATATTACAACTAACGGGTACATATGAAAATTTAACGCCGTTGCTTGTGGGACCGACGTGTATTATAACTTCTAATGTGTCGGACGAAGAGAATCCAAACTTAATCAAAGATCTTCTTGCGATAATTAACAAAAATAAAAAATTACTTCTTGTTGGAGGAAAATTGGACGAGAGTTTAGTGAATATACAAGATATTGAACGTGCTTCAAAGTTGCCTGGAATTCACACCTTGCGCGCTGAACTGGTGGGAATTATTAGTTCCCCGGCATCAAAGATATCTCAAATGCTTTCACAAACCCCGCAAAATCTTTTATTGAACTTAGAATCTCACAAGACGAAATTGGCTAATCAAGAAAAAAAGTAAAAAATACTAGTACAAATAATCGATACCAAGTTTTTGGTTTACTAGATGGATGGCGCTGTGCATGGATGGAAATTAAAAAATCTATTAAAACCAAAATTTAAAAAAAATAAAATAACAAACAATAGAATCAAGAATTCAATGCGATTATTTATTGTGCCATATAAAGTTCCTAAGTGAATCCCATTTATTAGAATCCAAATAAAGGTATTGCATAGAAGCCTGTAAAGAAGGTTGAAGGACATCTCGTTCGTGGCGGAAAAGCCACATAACAATTCCCCAAACGAGTGACGCAAAAATTGGAAAAGTGTGTTTTGGCGCATCAACAACTTTATGCGCTGCCGGTACTTTAGCAAGGCCCACCATTATACGCGCAAACAAGTAAAGTACAATCTAAAAAAGCATCCATGTGATATAAAAATTATAATAAATTTCTGAATAATCAAGATGAAAATGGAATATAAACCTGTTGATTGATATTATTATTCTCCCCAAAAACAATATAGCCGCCAATCAGACCCGCTATAAATGAATGACCACTTTGTTCTTTGTCTCCCGCAATTTTTCGTTGTAAATACATCAACGATTTGTATATTGTAACGAAAAAGGCAAGATTGCGAGAATGTTGTTTTGTAGCCTGCAAAATCCAGGTTAGTTTATCTTTTAGACTATAGATGTATATAATGTCGTCATAATTTAGTATATGCTATTTTCGAAAAATTACAAGTTTTCTTTTCTTGAAACGACAATAAAATACTATTAACATACCTGCCTTCTCGAAAAAGGAAAGTCATCACTAGTGCATGCGGAAACCGCACTTTTGCACCGTAAACTGCACCATTTCGAAAACCTTTTACAATTTGTAGTATTTCTTTGTTATTAGGATCATTAATGAAACTGGTAGCGTTATCAAAAAACATTTTGTGAGAAAAAAAAAGGTTAATTTCAAAACGGAAATCTTTTATGAAATGCCGTTCTTTAATTTCAAATAGGAATTAATTATTTAACAATAGCATCGATGGCATTATATGCATGCATCAAAGAGATCATCAAATTCCCTATAAGCATATTTTATTTTAAAAATTAATACAAAAAATTTACAACCGCGACAAAAACAAAGAAAAAACTATAGACAGCCTATCATTTTCCTCTCTTATTTACTTTTACTGTTTATAAAAATTTTGAAATCCAACCGGTTTTTCATCAATATTCTCCTCCAAATGATACGCGTTCAAATCCACATCGCCCGCGACGTAATTTTCCTGAAAACTTTTGATAGCTTCTTGTGCGTTACCCGACACATCATCATCTTCAGCCAACCATACCTGTTTTTTTGGTTGACCATCTGGTCCAGTTGACGTATTTGAGATGAGGTTATTCAAATCTCGTGCCGCGTTCTCGAGCAAAGATTGAATACGCAAGAGTTTTTGTGCATCGGCCGCTGTAATGTCTACCTCAAGCTCATCAGAGTGTTGATCGAGGTTTGGATCCTTGATTGGACTGCCACCTTTTAAGCCATATTTTGCTCTAATATCGTCGATGGTAGTTTTCAGGGACCAGTAATCTTTGTCTGCTTCGTAGACTGTAGGAGTACCACGTGAAGTAGAGGCAAGTTGTGCATGCAAAACACTGGTCAAGGAGGCCGCTGATGGTCTTATGAGACCGGTCGAAAAATGACTGCGGCCATTATTATTAAAAGCTACAGAACTAAGGCGAGAGGCAGTTGTGAAAAGTCTCAAAGACATTGGAAATTGAGAATCAGGTTATAATGCGAATAATATGCCTTATTTCGGTCAAGAGAATTACTTTATTATGTCTATTTAATCAATTAAAAAAAGATATTTGGTAAGCTATAAATGTTCCTTATACAATAGTTCTATTTGTCGTAATGACAAATAGTTGAAAATGTTAGCACCTTCAAATAGTGAAAAACAGCTTTTACACTTTACCTTGATAAAAAAAATATGTACAAAAATTATCTTACATATATTATTGACAAACAAGAAAAAATAAAAGAACTCGTAAAGACAAAGAACGGGATAGCTGGGACAGGGTCAAAGTTAAAAAAAGTACGTCGCAAAGAACACAATTTTTTGTGTCGGTGTTGTTATTTCATGATCTCATGCAGTGGAACGAAGCTTTCTCGTAATATTCCCACAGAGGGAAAATACCGTTACGGAAAAAAAAATTATTATTTATCACCTAATGCAGAATTAATATTTGTAACCAGGAGTACGGATAATAATATGGACTTAATTAATCATGTGTTCAGAAATAAGAAAAATCTGTCAAACTTACTAAGATATATTTGGTAATATTTACAAATTTATTTTTTTCTGATATTAAAATACAATAAAAATTTTATATGGTCAACTCTCGCTATACCGAACCTGGTTATAACGAAATCTGATTATAAGGAACTAGTGTTAGCAGAACCGATTTGTTTATAATAAATTAAGCTGGTTATACTGAACTAATTAGTAAATTTTTATATACCCGCATCCGAACTCAATTCTCCAGCCCGTTATATATTTGATATTGAGAATAAAATAAATCTTATAATAATGTAATTTTATTTAGCTTGAGAGTAAATAAAATATAAGAATGCACACATAAGACTAGGAATAGCATACAAACATTATTATAATAAATATATAATAAAAGACCTTTTGTTATATAAAGTATTAGTCTAATATAAAATCACGTGATTGTTCGTTAATGAATTTTTTGAAAATAAGTTCTTCTTATAGCTGCATAAAAACAAGAAATTTGTGAGATTAAAAAAAATAATCCAAAAATTAGCAATATAGAACTTGTTATTTAATGTTATATCAGAAAATTAATTATTACTAATATTCTTAAAAAAATTGATTAATTATTATAATTAATAAAAAAGAAATTATAAAAAAATTTAAATAGCTATAACTTGAACAAGCTCTTGATCTTTAAATAAATAATATACTTAATATAAATCAGAATATTAATAATTATATTATTAAAATAAAGATTAAATATTTTGCTAAGAATCTTTTTACTAATAATTTTTATCAGTCAGATAATTAATTTATTAATTTTAAAAAATAATATAAACTTTATCAATTTACAAAACAGAATAAATTAGCAAGTATCTCTTCTAAAAAATTAATAAAAAATAATTAATGAATTTTTTTAAAAAATAAAATTTTCTTAAATCTTAACTCATTCTAAATTAGTCAAATACAAAAAAAGTTATATATATTAATATTTTATATTAGAAATATACAATGGCAATCAAAAATAATGCAACACTTAAATTTTTTTACTAATTATAATTAGTAA